GTAGTAGACGTCGTCGAAGCGCGTGTGGCCCAGGAGCTCGATGGTGAACATGGTCCCCGCGAGGAAGATGATGACGCCGATGAACTCGAGCGCCGTCGTCGCGAGCTTCACGCCCATCTCCGGCAGCCAGTCGAGCGCCTCGCCGTGCGACAGCGTGTGCGCCTCCGTGACGACGCGGTAGATGCGCATGTAGGCCGGGCTCAGCCAGGACGAGCTGCGGAACACCGGGGACCGCTCGACCAGGATCCAGGGCACGGTCATGCAGTCGAGGAAGAAGTTCGCGCCGCGGACGTGGTCCGTCATGCCGCGCTTGAGGCACTCGACGCCGCCGTCGAAGAGCACGACGACGCACCAGGCGACGTCGAAGGCGTAGACCGTCGGCGTCGCGTCCATGTGGTAGGACTTGACGACCCAGAGCACGACCGCCGTGCCCGACGCGAAGAACTGCGCCGTCACGCGCAGGTTCTGGAACCAGGGGCACGTCGGCGGCTCGTAGTCGGTCCCGATCCACGTCGCCAGCAGCTTCCCGACGAAGTCCTCCTCGAGGAGCTCGTCGGGGTGCGCCTTCGTCGACTTCTTATCGAGGACGGCCTTCTTGACGCGCGTGTAGGCCACCTCGCCGACCTGGACGACGGCGAAGATCACAAAGGTCCCGACCATCTGATAAAAGCACTTGCTCCAGGAGCACCCCTCGAGGTCCTCGATGACCCGCGGGCCGTCGTAGGTCCCCATGGCGCCCACCGACGTTGTTTGTGGGGCTGCCCAGGCGAGCGACGGCAAAAGCAAAAATGGATTGGATGCATTCTCGAGTTGGATGCATTCACGGAGATGACCTCTGTCAACACGCTGAACTGCACAGTGCAGTCCGCCAACCCAGTCTCGTCAATACGATGTCAGGCCGCCAGCTCGGTGTTTGCGTCCTGGCCGCGCTCGCGTGCACGCGCGCCTTCGTCGCGCCGGCGGCGCGGCGCGCGCCGTCGCGGCTCCGGGGCGAGCCCGTGCAGCAGGAGGTGCTCGACGACGACCCGCTCGTCGTGCGCCTCGCCGAGGAGGTCGGGGCCATCAACGGGGGCGCGGGCCTCGACGCGTTGCTGAACCCGGCGAAGCTCATCAACACGGAGCGCGCGCTCGTGGAGCTGCGCGCGCGGCGCGACGCCGGCGACGGGAGCGCGGCCCTCGAGAAGGAGATCGCGAGCAAGGAGGCCGTCGTCTACGTCGAGAAGCGCGCGGTCATGCGCGACTGGCTCAAGACGCTCTTCCGGGGCCAGGCCTACGTGACGATCGGGATTTCGCTGCTCATGGTCTACGACGCCGTGCCCTTCTTCTCGCCCCTCGACCTCAGCGTCCGCGTGCTCGGCTTCTGGAGCTGGTGGCTCTTCACGGTCCCGTCGCTCCGGTCCATCAAGCCCCTGGCGGCCCCGGAGAAGAAGGCGCTCGACGCCGCCTTCCTCGCGACGCTCGTCGGGAGTCTGCTCGCGCCCTTCGCGACGAAGGACCCGGCGACGATCTGGTGGATCGACTTCGCCATCGTCGCCGCGTGCTACGGCTACGGCTACGTCGCGCCCGAGTCCGCGCCGGACGACGACGACGACGACCTCTTCGACGCCAAGGCCGCCGGCGGTGCGGGGGCCTTCGGCCAGCAGCTCTGGCGCTCCGCCAAGTGGGCCGGCCGCGCGCTCGACGTCGGCGGCGGCCGGGAACGCGGCGCGCGGTCCGCGGACGCGTCCGCGGTGGAGAAGGCCCTCGAGAGCGCCGTCGCCTCCAAGGCGGCGACCGCGTCGAAGCGGGCCGCCGTCGCGACCCTCGAGCCGGAGGAGGCCGACGACTACGACGGCATCCCGCCGTGACGCGCGGCGCCGAAACGGCGGCCCCCTCGATTCGCGTACGAACCTAAGGTCCCGTCGCCCGTGCGTCGCAGCAGGCCCCGCACGCCGTCGGGTGCCCGAGAGAGCACCAAAAGGAGGATTACACACGAAGGGGTCACGCGACGTAGGCGAGGACGAGGTCGAAGACGGGCCGCGGGAGCGCGGCGAGCGCGTGGGACGCGTCGCGCCGCGCGGCCTCGAAGGCGCGGCGCCGCGCGGCGGCGCGGCCGTCGCGCTCGCGGAGGAGGCCGACGCGGCGGAGGGCCGCGCGGTCGTCGCGGCGCAGCGGGCCGTCGCCGGGCCGCGTCGCCTTGAGGAAGACGGGCCCGTCGCCCGCGCCGCCGAGCGCCGCGCGGAGCGCCGGGTCGCCGTCGAGCGCGCGCTTCAGCTCGCCCGCGTCCTCGAAGTGGAGGTAGAGCGACGCCAGGGGCAGGGGCACGCGCGACGCGAGGGCGACGCCGTCGCAGGGGTCCCGGAGGCGGCCGTTGAAGCAGATCCACTTGTCGAGCGCGCCGTGCTCGTCGACCTCGAGGACGCCGCCGGCGACGCCGCCGTAGTCCCGGAGCAGCGCGGGCAGGTCGCCGCCGTAGCGGCCGACGAGGTCGGGCCCCGCGAGGCCGACGAGCGCGGCCCAGTGGCCCCGGGGCCGGCCCGGGAACTCGCGCGCCTCGAAGCGCTCGCCGAGGCCCACGCGGACGCCGCGCTCGCCCGGCGCGTGGGCCCAGGCGTAGCAGCCCGCCGGGAGCGACACGGGCGCGGCCTCGCCGGCGCCGCGGAGCAGGTCCAGCGCGCGCGGGCCGAGCTCGAAGCGGCGCCGCGCGGACGCGGACGGGATGAGCACGTGCGCGTGCAGGGACCCGTCGGCCTCGCAGGCGGCGAGGGACACGCCCTCGCCGGGCCGCAGGTGCACGCAGCGGAAGCGGCCCGCGTCCGGCGGCCGCGGGCAGCTCCGGTCCAGCAAGAGCGCGGCGCGCTCCTCGGCCGTCGCGCGGCTCCAGCGCGTCGACGCGCCGTCCGACGCCGGCGGCCGGAGCCGCGCGCGGAGCAGCGCGGCGACGCTCGCGCCGAGGGCCGCGCACTCGGGCCGCGGCGGCGGCTCCGCGTCCTCCGCGAGGTCCTCGACGTGGTCGCTCTCGAAATACGACGACGACGCGCGCGAGCTCTCGAAGTAGGACGACCCGACGAGCGCGGCGTGGAGCTGCGCGTCGCCCCCGTCGCCTCCGTTGCTGCTGCCGCTCGACGACACGAGCTGGACCTCGTCCGGGTCCGCCGCCTTCTCCTCCACCACGGGCTCGGGCGGCGGCGCGAGCGACAGGAGGCCGCCGTCGATGGGGTAGCCGATGAGCGTCGCCGACGCGCGCGCGCAGACGGACGTCGCGTGCTGGACCACGACGGCCACGGTGCGGCCGTGCGACACGCGGAGCGCGAGCGCGAAGGGCGCGCCGTCGGGCGCCCGCGCGACGCGCGCCGCGGCCTCGGCGTAGGCCGCGGCGCAGGTGAAGGGCAGGTCCGCGAGGACCTTCGGCCGCTCCGCGAGGCAGGTCAGCGCGCGCGCGCCGTCGCTCCAGAGCACGACGTTGAGCTCCGCGTCGACGCCGAGCACGAAGAGCGCCATCTTCTCGAGGGACGTCACGCGGCTCTGCTCGCGCTCCGCGGCGTAGCGCTCGCTGATGTCGCGGCAGACGACGATCCAGCGGCGCCGCTGGCGCCGCTGGCACCGGAGCTCGACCGCGCGCGCGCCGTCGAGGACCTTCATCGTGACGTCGCCGGCATCGAGGTTTTTGGCGCGCAGCGCGTCGAGGGCGCAGGCGTGGGACCCGTCGTCGAGGGGCGCCGCGTCGATGAGGGCCTCGCCGCCGGCCCCGGCCCGCGCCGCGGCCGCGTTCGCGGGCCGCACGAGGGCTGTGTCGACGTCGACGAGGAAGACGAGGTCGCGCATCTGGTCGAGGATCGCGTCCTGCTCCGCGGCGCGACGGAACCAGCGCCGCTCCTCCCGGAGGTACGTCGAGGCCGCGTAGAGCGCGAGCGAGCACCGTCGTCCGCGCGTTGCCGCCGCGCCACTCGGAGAAGGAGAGGCGCCGGTGCTTCGCCTCGTGGGGCGGGAAGATGACGTCGTCGCGCGTCACGACGATGGCGAGCGCGAGGACGCCGTCGAGGAGGCGCGCGTCGGCCGACTCGAACATGGTCCACTGCGTGGGCCGCGCCGCGGACGCGGACCCGAAGAGCGTGAAGAAGGACCAGGTCTCGCCGTCGCGGTAGGTGTGGTACGTGCCGCGCTCGCCGACGGTCTGCAGCGCTTCGGGCAGCGTCGCGAGGTAGCCCAGGACGTCGCCGCCGAAGGCCGCGACGGCCGCGTCGGGAAGCGCGAACGACAGCCCGTCGAAGTGCCAGCTGTGCGTCACGGGCGCGACGGTGCTCGCGTTGCGGTGTGTTGTGTTGGCCGTGTACATGTCGACGACGGGCGCATTCCAGGCCGCCTCCCAGAGGCCGCGGTCCGCGCGCGACACGAGCGGCGCAAGGTGCACCGTGACCCGGAGCGGCGGCACGGTCCGCGGCAGGTACGCGGCCCCGTCGTCGTCGGCATGGTCGATGCCGGACAAAATGAAGTTCGACGTCATCGTCGCGTGGGGCGCCGCGGCCAGGGCCTTGTGTCGCGGCCCCGCGGCCTCCGCGGCGCTCGCGGGGAAGACGACGCTTCGCCAGCCCGCGCTGCCCTCGTCGAACGCGCCGACCCAGCCCTGGGCGAACATGCGCGTCGTCGACACGAGCATGTTCGCGTAGCCCATGAGCACGCTCGCCGTCGCCTCGCACTCCGACGCCGCGAGCTCCGCCCGCCCGTCGTCGATGCGGTCCGGCAGCTCCACGACGCTCACCCAGGCCAGCGTGCTGAGGAAGACGACGGCCGCCGCGACGACGGCGGCCTTGCGCCAGAGGCGCGTGGGCTGCCGGCGATCGGGGGGGGGGCTTCCCCGGGTCGTCCCCCACGCCGGGGGCTGCCACATGGGCAGCCATCCTGTGGTTCGCACTTTTTGTTATGCAATCGCTTGTACTTCAAGGTATTGTTCAACGTCTCGCCATTTTCTGCCACACCTGTGGAGAGGGGAGGTGTGTGGACGACAAGACCCCCGCTCCCGCATGGCACAGCTGATCGACTCCCCGCACGCGGAGATGAAGCGAATACTCGACGTCCAGAAGAAGGCGTTCATCGCCAACGGCGCGCCGTCGACGCAGGAGCGCATCCGGCGCATCGACGTCGCCATCAAGCTGCTCCTCGACAACGCGGACGCGCTCTGCGCCGCCGTCGACGAGGACTTTGGCGGGCGGCCCGTCAAGTTCACGAAGTTCGTCGACGTCGCGACGGTCGTCGACGGGCTGAAGAACGCGCGCGCGCACGTCGCCAAGTGGTCGGCGCCGCACCGCCGCGGCGTCGAGTTCCCGATGAACCTCGCGGGCGCGTCGAACGCCGTCGAGTACGTGCCCAAGGGCGTCGTCGGCGTCATCTCGCCCTGGAACTACCCCGTGTCGCTCCTCTTCAACCCGCTCGCGGGCATCTTCGCCGCGGGCAACTCGGCGATGCTCAAGCCGTCCGAGTTCGTGCCCAAGACCGCGGAGCTCGTGCGGAAGCTCGTCGCCGAGGCCTACGACGAGAGCGTCTGTTGCGTGGTCACGGGCCACGCGGACGTCGCCGCGACGTTTAGCAGCCTGCCCTTCGACCACCTCATGTACACGGGGTCGGCGCCGGCGTCCGGTTACGGGAAAACGACGAGCGATCGAGATTTTGACAAAAGATCGTCGCCGACGCGTCCCGTAGGTCGACGCGCGTCGGCAAGATCGTCGCCCGGGCCGCGGCGGAGAACCTCGTGCCCTGCACGCTGGAGCTGGGCGGCAAGTGCCCCGTCATCGTCGGCGCGTCCACGGACCTGAACGTGACGGCCATGCGCGCGCGCGCCGCGTCCTTCGGCGCCGTCCCTCGCGTCGCTCCTCGATTCGCGCTTCACCCCGCCCGCCGCAGGCCTCGCGCACGGCAAGGTCATGAACGCGGGGCAGACGTGCATCGCGCCGGACGTCGTCTTCGTGCCCGCGGCGCTGAAGCAGCCCTTCGCCGACGCCTTCAAGGCGGCCGTCGCCGACATGTTCCCGGCGGGCGTCGCGCAGTCCGGCGACTACACGTCCGTCATCTCCGACGCGCACTACGAGCGCGCGACGGGGCTCGTGGCCGAGGCCGAGGCCGCGGGCGTCGAGGTGCTCGTCTGCCCCGGCGGCGACGCCGCCGCCACGGGCGGCGACGAGGAGTCCAAGGCCGGCGCGTACCCGCGCCGCATGGCCCCGACGCTCGTCTTCGACCCGGCGGACGACCTCAAGATCAGCGGCGAGGAGATCTTCGGCCCGCCCATGGTCGTCCGCACCTACGACGCCGTCGAGGACGCCGTCGCCTACGTCAACGCGCGGCCCCGGCCCCTGGCCTGCTACTACTTCGGCACGGACGCCGCCGAGGAGGCCAAGGTCCTGCCGCGGATCACGGCCGGCGGCGTCTGCGTCAACGACGTCATCATGCACGTCGCGCAGGAGGACCTGCCCTTCGGCGGCGTCGGCGGCTCGGGCTACGGCTCCTACCACGGCCACGAGGGCTTCCTCGAGTTCTCGCACCACAAGGGCGTCCACCGCCAGGTCGCGACGGGCCGCCAGTTCCTCCTCCAGGGCATCTACCCGCCCTACGACAAGAAGGGTTCCATGCTCGACATGATCATCGACATGAAGCTCACGCCCGCGAAGGACTCCAAGCTCCCCTGCTGCATCCTCTGATTTTGACCGCCCCGTCGCGGCTCTCTAATCGCATCGTCGTCGTTGGTGTGGGCGTCGCGCTGGCGCGGCCCGGGTGGTGAGCGCCGCCGACCGTCTCCGAGTCGGCCAGCCCGGCCTGCCCGTGAGTCACCGCGGCGGTGCCCGGGCCGCCCCGGGCCGCCGTCACGGTGGCCGCGGCCACTGCCACTGACATCGTCACCGCCGACATCGGCGACGACTCGAGGCTCGGCGCGCCCCGCCTGGTCTCGACGACGCGAAACCGAAGAGTCCTACGTCCTCGCCGCTGCTATGCGTCCTCCGAAGACGCGAGGACGGCCTCGGGCAGCCCGTGACCGCACACCGGCCAATCCCGTCGTACGCTAGTTAGAGCATTCAAATCGTGTTCGGCCACGCGAATCGACTTCGATGGAAAGCGCGCCAAATCGCGCAAACTCCCCTCCACCTGTTTATCCGCTCGCGAGTCGCTCGCGAAAAGCAAAGCAGCCACATCCGCCACCTTCGGTGCGACGCGCAGCCGCCCCCCGCCCCGTCGCCGGCCCCGCGGGCCTCCGCGCCCCCGCCCCCGCCCCCAGGGACCCCGCCCCGCCCCCGCGCGAACGCGCGCGGCTGCGCGCGGCCCCGCTCACCAGCTGCCAGGGACCCAGCCCCGCCCCCCCGCGCGAACGCGCGCGGCTGCGCGCGGCCCCGCGGCCCACCCACTCCCACCCGCGCGAACGCGCGCGGCTGCGCGCGGCCCCGCGGCTCACCCGCTGCCCCCCCCCTCGCAGCATCCCATCATGTCCGGTGAAGTCGAGACCTTCGCGTTCAGCGCCGACATCAACCAGCTGCTGTCGCTGATCATCAACACGTTCTACTCGAACAAGGAGATCTTCCTCCGCGAGCTCATCTCGAACGCGTCCGACGCGCTCGACAAGATCCGCTACCAGTCGCTCACGGACGCGTCCGTGCTCGATGCCGAGCCCAACCTCGAGATCCACATCATCCCCGACAAGGCGAACAACACGCTCACGATCGTCGACACGGGCATCGGCATGACCAAGGCCGACCTCATCAACAACCTCGGCACGATCGCCAAGTCGGGCACCAAGGCCTTCATGGAGGCGCTCCAGGCCGGCGCCGACATCTCGATGATCGGCCAGTTCGGCGTCGGCTTCTACTCCGCCTACCTCGTCGCCGAGAAGGTCGTCGTCACGTCCAAGAACAACGACGACGAGCAGTACACGTGGGAGTCCGCCGCCGGCGGCTCGTTCACGGTCGTGCCCGACGCGCCCGAGGCCAAGCGCATCGGCCGCGGCACGCGCATCGTCCTCACGATGAAGGAGGACATGGCCGAGTACCTCGAGGAGCGCCGCCTCAAGGATCTCGTCAAGAAGCACTCCGAGTTCGTCGGCTTCCCCATCAAGCTCTACGTCGAGAAGACGCAGGAGAAGGAGGTCACGGACGACGACGATGACGACGACGATGACAAGGACGAGGACGACGACGCCCCGAAGGTCGAGGACGTCGACGAGGAGGAGACCAAGAAGGAGAAGAAGACGAAGAAGATCAAGGAGGTCACGCACGAGTGGGACCACCTCAACGGCCAGAAGCCCATCTGGATGCGCAAGCCCGACGAGGTCACCCAGGAGGAGTACGCGTCCTTCTACAAGTCGCTCACGAACGACTGGGAGGACCACGCCGCCGTCAAGCACTTCTCCGTCGAGGGCCAGCTCGAGTTCCGCTCCGTGCTCTTCCTCCCGCGCCGCGCGCCCTTCGACATGTTCGAGGGCGGCACGAAGAAGAAGTTCAACAACATCAAGCTCTACGTGCGCCGCGTGTTCATCATGGACAACTGCGAGGACCTCATGCCCGAGTTCCTGACCTTCGTCAAGGGCATCGTCGACTCCGAGGACCTGCCCCTCAACATCTCGCGCGAGACGCTCCAGCAGAACAAGATTCTGAAGGTCATCAAGAAGAACCTCGTGAAGAAGTCCATCGAATTGTTCAACGAGGTCGCGGAGGACGAGGACAAGTACAAGAAGTTCTACGAGGCGTTCTGCAAGAACCTCAAGCTCGGCGTCCACGAGGACTCGACGAACCGCGCGAAGATCGCCAAGCTCCTGCGCTACCACACGACCAAGTCCGGCGAGGAGATGACGTCGCTCGACGACTACATCGCGCGCATGTCGGACAACCAGCCCGGCATCTACTACGTCACGGGCGAGTCCAAGCGCGCCGTCGAGACGTCGCCCTTCCTCGAGAAGCTCAAGAAGAAGGGCTACGAAGTCATCTTCATGGTCGACCCCATGGACGAGTACTGCGTCCAGCAGCTCAAGGAGTACGAGGGCAAGAAGTTGATCTCCGCGACCAAGGAGGGCCTCAAGATGGAGGAGACCGAGGAGGAGAAGAAGGAGCTCGAGGAGGCCAAGGCGGCCACGGAGGGCCTCTGCAAGCTCATGAAGGAGGTCCTCGACGACAAGGTGGACAAAGTCGTCGTCTCGACGCGCCTCGCGGACTCGCCCTGCGTGCTCGTCACCGGCGAATACGGCTGGTCCGCGAACATGGAGCGCATCATGAAAGCGCAGACGCTCCGCGATTCGTCGTCGTCGGCCTACATGTCGTCCAAGAAAACGATGGAGATCAACCCGCTGAACCCCATCGTGAAGTCGCTCCGCGACAAGGCCGAGGCCGACCAGAGCGACAAGACGGTGAAGGACCTCATCTGGTTGCTCTACGACACGTCGCTGCTCACGTCCGGCTTCAGCCTCGACGAGCCGTCGACGTTCGCGTCGCGCATCCACCGCCTCATCAAGCTGGGCCTCTCCATCGACGACGACGACGACGAGCTCGACGCCGACATGGACGACCTTCCCCCTTTGGAGGAGGACGGCTTGGACGAGGAGTCGACGATGGAGCAGGTCGATTAAGGCCTGCCCGGCCCGCGTCGCCACGCTTTTCGCGCCATTCCCCGCGCGCCCCAACTAATAAGACAGTTGGCTGTGCGCACGATGTGTATGTTGGCATGACCGGCGCCGCCGAGCTCCGGATCGCCGGGATCGCCCCGGACCCGGCCGAGTCGCTCTGGATCGCCAGGATCGCGTCTGAGCGCGCGGGGTCGCCCCGGATCGCCGCGGATCGCGCCGGGATCGCGCCGCATCGCTCCGGATCGAACCCGGTTGCGGCTTGTAGTGCAATTGAATGAAACATGCCGTTCTCAACATCGCGAACACCGGTGGGCGCCACACACGCGATTTTTTCAGCTGCCCCGACAAGGAAGGCAATTGCACTATGGCGACCGCTTGCCTTTGCGGCGACCTCGGCGACGAGGAGATTGGCGCCGTGCCCGTCGTCGCGGAAGAGGCAAAGGAGGACCAGGTGAGTGACGCACCGGGCAGCCCCGTAGGCGGCCGCCTAGAAACGCCCCCGCGTAGGTTGGCGCCGTCATGGACTCCATGATGCTCGAACCCGTAGCGCCGGTCCCGCTGCCGGTGAAGATGGCGGCGCCGATCCCCAAGGGGCCCATCGCGCACAACGTTCTCGCCCACTCGAACGCGCACACGCTCCCGCGCCCCGTGGCCTACGACAACAAGTACGTGAACGTGAAGCGCGTCTTCAACACGCAGCCCGAGGTCATGGGCTTCGTCATCTGCGTCGGCGAGACCATCCACGAGCGCATGCTCAAGAAGCCCATGATGACGATCCTCCTGTCCGTGCAGGCGGGCCTCCTGCTGTCCTTCGGCGTGCTCATGAGCTGCCAGGTCGGCGGCCGCTGGGGCAGCTCGACGGGCGTCAACAACTTCGTCTTCGCGGGCTTCGGCATCCCCTTCGGCCTCACGTTCATCGTCATGTGCCAGGGCGCGGAGCTCATAACGGCCAACTACATGTTCTGCAGCTTCGCCGTCCTCGCCGCCGAGCCCGAGGATCGCCCGCGGCAGATCAAGGGCCTCCTCGGGAACTGGTTCTTCTGCTGGTGGTCGAACCTGCTCGGCGCCGTGCTCCACTTCGTCATGTTCGCCTGGTCCACGGGCCTCATAAAGAGCGTGCGCATCGGCGGCGACCTCTACAGCGACCCGACCGACTCGCTCGAGCACGACCAGGTGCTGTGGTACAAGTCGAACCAGGACTTCCGCGACGACATGAACGGCGACCTCTGCAGCCGCTCCAACTACGGCATGGCCAACCTCTGCAAAGTCGTCAAGGTCTGCCGCGCCAAGTGCACGGCCCACTTCACGACGTCCATCATCCGCGGCGCGGGCTGCAACTGGATGGTCTGCCTCGCGATCTGGCTCCAGATGATCGCGACGGAGCCCATCTCCAAATTCATCATGATTTGGCTCCCCATCGAGCTGTTTATCTCGTCCGGCTTCGACCACCTCGTCGTCAACGAATTCCTCATCCCCGCGGGCATCATGGTCGGCGGCAAGTACTACGACGACCGCTGCAACTGGGGAAACGCGTTCTGGTTCAACTTCGTGCCGGTGACCCTCGGCTCCATCGTCGGCGCCTGGTTTCTCGTCTTCCCCTTCTGGCTCATCAACAAGGACGGCTGGCGCGCGGGCCTCGAGCAGCAGAAGGCCATCTAGTGCCCCCGTCGGCTACACCGCCGGGGAAAGATCCACTCCCGACCCGTCGCCCGCGCGTCCGCCCAAAATTTGCACATACGCCGCGCGCCGCCACAGCCGTCGAGGATGCCGCGGCGCTCGCGACCTGGAGTGCGGACCTAAGAATCTCGCGCACATGGCCTGTATTAAGATCTAGGTCTCGACTCCTAACGCCGCGGCGACGACGCCAAGGCCAAGCACGACTCGCCCGCGCGCAAGCGCAGCATCTCGGGCTCGGGCGACGATGCGGCGTGAAGACTTAGGCTATACTTGCGCGTCGAGGCGCGCGAGGTTCCTTATAGCATCCTCGTAGCCCTTGGCAGCGGCGCGCTCGAACCAGTACCTGGCTTTGCCGAGGTCGACTTCCGTGCCTGCTCCGTCCTTGTAACAGCAGCCAAGGCAAAACTCTCCAGAGGTAAGACCTTGATCCGCCGCGAGCGCGTAGTACCGGAACGCTTCTTCAAATTTCTCCTCAGAGTAAAGTGAAGTCCCTAAATTGGTTTGTCCGAACGCGTCGCCCCGATCTGCGGCCGTGCGATACAGCCGCTCCGCCTTCTTCTTGTCCAGCTTGACGCCACTTCCAGTCCGGTACAACCCCCCAAGCCGTGTCATCGCCCGCACATCTCCGAGCTCCACGGCGCGCCGGTAAATCTTCGCGGCTTTCTTGTCGGATTTCACGAGGCCGTAGAGACCGCGGCGGTACGCGGTTCCCAAAAACCTAATCGCTTCCGGCACCTCGTTCTCCACATGGCGACGAAGACGCGCGAGGTCTTCCGCATCGGTTTCTGCGTGCGGTATGCGACAGAGGGGACACGCGCCGGTGCCGATCTTGTCGAAGCACGATCGGCAGACCCTTCGGCAGCAACAGACGTGAAACACGTTCGTCGCATTCACGTCCCACTCATCGAGACAGATCGGGCACCGCGACCCGAGCCGCGCCGACAGCGGCTCCCGCTCCGGGTTCGCCTCCCGCAGGGCACGAGCAGCTTCGTGCTCCGCCGCGATGCGCGCGCGGACCTCGTCGGCGTGCGACCGCGGCGCGGGGCCGTAGAACACGTCCCGCGGCGGCGACGGCGGGGGCGTCGGCGCTTCCGCCCGCGCCGCCTCCGCCGCGCGCTCGGCTCGAATCTTCTTGCACGCCTTTCGGTGACCCCGGTCGCGCCAGTCGATGCGTTGGCATTCAGTCGAACAATACTGCGTAGTTCCGCACGGGCAGCTCAGTAAAGTTCTCGGTTTCGCCCCACAAATCGTGCACGTCAAACGCAGCTGTAGCGCTTTCGCCCGCGCCTTCTTCTCTTCGTATTCGCGCTGCTTCTCGACGTACTCGGCCTTCATGATCGTTTTCGCGGCGGCGCGCGGGCGACAGTTTTGCCTCTCCACAAATTCGCTCCTGACCCTCGCACAGGCAAAATCGCTCAAAATCTTACCCCAGGCCAGCCCACCCCTAGACCATCACACCCATGCCGTCTCAATGCCCCCTCGGCGTCGTCGTCCTTGCGCCAGGCGGGCGTCGCGTTCAGGAACGCGAGACACCAGGCCGCGAAGGTCGGCGCGGAGAGGAACGCGGCGACGACGACGACGCCAAGGCCAAGCACGACTCGCCCGCGCGCAAGCGCAGCATCTCGGGCTCGGGCGACGACGCGGCATGAAGACTTAGGCTATACTCGCGCGTCGAGGCGCGCGAGGTTCTGTATAGCATTCTCGTGGCCCTTGGCAGCGGCGCGCTCGAACCAGTACCTGGCTTTGCCGAGGTCGACTTCCGTGCCTGCTCCGTCCATGTAACAGCAGCCAAGGCTATTCTCCGCATAGGTATAGCCTTGATTCGCCGAGAGCGCGTAGTACCGGACCGCCTCTTCAAATTTCTCCTCAGAATCAAGTAAAAACCCTAATCTGGATTGCCCGCACGCGTCGCCCCGATCTGCGGCCGCGCGATACAGCCGCTCCGCCTTCTTCTTGTCCAGCTTGACGCCACTTCCATGCTCGTAAAACTCCCCAAGAAATACCATCGCCCGCACATTCCCGAGCTCCACGGCGCGCCGGTAAATCTTCGCTGCTTTCTTTTCGGATTTCACGAGGCCCAACCAACCGCGTTTGTACACACTTCCCAAACACGTAATCGCTTCCGGCACCTCGTTCTCCACATGGCGGCGAAGACGCGCGAGTTCTTCCGCAATGTCCTTCGCGCGCGGTACACGACAGAGGGGACACGCGGTTTCGATCTTGTGCTCGCAGGTTAGGCAGACCATCCGGCAGCAACAGATGCGAAACACGCCCGGAGAATTGACGTCCCAGTCCTCGAGGCAGATCGGGCACCGCGACCCGAGCCGTGCCGACGTCGGCTCCCGCTCCGGGTTCGCCTCGCGTCGCACGCGGGCCGCCTCGTGCTCCGCCGCGATGCGCGCGCGGACCTCGTCGGCGTGCGACCGCGGCGCGGGGCCGTAGAACACGTCCCGCGGCGGCGACGGCGACGGCGTCGGCGCTTCGGCCCGCGCCGCCTCCGCGGCCTGGATCTTCTTGCAGACCTTCCGGTGGCCCCGATCGCGCCAATCGATGCGTTGGCAGTCCGTCGAACAGTAGGCCGTCGTGCCGCACCCTTTGCACGCCTTCGCTTTGTCGGCGCCGCAGATCGTGCAGGTCTTGAGAGTGTCGAGTTTTTTGCCCCTCGCTCGGGCCATGCGAGTCTCATACTCCAACTTCTTCTCCTGCCACGACATGACTCGGTGCGCGTCCTTGCGACGGCGTCCTCGTGAGCCTCAACAGGCAAAATCGCTCAAAATCTTAGCCCCGGGCTAAGCCCACGCCTAGAGCGCTCATGTCGTTCTCCATGCCCCCCTCGGCGGCGTCGTCGTCCTTGCGCCAGGCGGCCCTCGCGTTCACGAACGCGAGGCACCAGACCGCGAAGGTCGGCGCGGAGAGGAACGCCGCGACGACGACGCCAAGGCCAAGCACGACTCGCCCGCGCGCAAGCGCAGCATCTCGGGCTCGGGCGACGACGCGGCGTGAAGACTTAGGCTATACTTGCGCGTCGGTCGAGGCGCGCGAGCTTCTTTCTAGCATCCTCGTCGCCCTTGGCAGCGGCGCGCTCGAACCAGTATCTGGCTTTGCCGAGGTCGACTTCCGTGCCTTTTCCATAATGGTAACAAATGCCAAGGTTGAGCTCTCCTTCGGTATAGCCTTGATCCGCCGCGAGCGCGTAGTACCGGAACGCTTCTTCGTATTTCTTCTCAGGACGAAGCAAATTCCCTAAGTCGTTTTGCGCGTCTGCGTCGCCCCGGTCCGCGGCCATGCGAAACAGCCGCTCCGCCTTCTTCTTGTCCAGCTTGACGCCTTCCCCATACAGGTACATTTCCCCCAGGAATACCATCGCGTCCACATCCCCGAGCTCCACGGCGCGCTTCCAAATCTTCGCGGCTTTCTTATCGGATTTCACGAGGCCGTACATACCTTCGCGGTACGCCTCTCCCAAAAACGAAATCGCTTCAGGCACTTCGTTCTCCACATGGCGGCGCAGACGCGCGAGGTCTTCCGCAAAACCTTCTGCGAGCGGTATCCGACAGAGGGGACACGCAGTTTCGATCTTGTCCTCGCACGATCGGCAGACCCTCCGGCAGCAACAGACGCGAATCACGTTCCCCTTATTCACGTCCCACTCCTCGAGACAGATCGGGCACCGCGACCCGTACCGCGCAGAAAGCGGCTCCCGCTCCGGGTTCGCCTCGCGCAGCACGCGGGCGGCCTCGTCCCGCTCGCGGAGGCGCGCGCGGACCTCGTCGGCGTGCGACCGCGGCGCGGGGCCGTAGAACACGTCCCGCGGCGGCGACGGCGGGGGCGTCGGCGCTTCGGCCCGCGCCGCCTCCGCGGCCTGGATCTTCTTGCAGACCTTCCGGTGGCCCCGGTCGCGCCAGTCGATGCGTTGGCAGGCCGTCGAACAGTAGGCCGTCGTGCCGCAACCTTTGCACGCCTTCGCTTTGTCGGCGCCGCAGATCGTGCAGGTCTTGAGAGTGTCGAGTTTTTTGCCCCTCGCTCGGGCCATGCGATTCTCATACTCCAACTTCTTCTCCTGCCACGACATGACTCGGTGCGCGTCCTTGCGACGGGGGCGTCGCCAACAAAAGCTCGGCTGATCGTGAGCTGCCGCCTTCCCGGATGCGTCCGTGCACGCGCTCGAGAGAAGCGGGAGTACATAGCGGGAACCCAGTATCGCTCGCGCATGAGCTCCGCCCGCGACGACCGCAACCTTACCCCCCCCCGCACCCGAGCTACTTCGGCCAGAACACCTCGAAGGCGAGGCCGTTGTCCCTGAGGGATGCGCGGATGCTGCCCTTCTCGATACAAAACTTGATGGCCTCGTGCCAGTGCTTGTTGATGACGCGCCAGCCCGCCGTGCGGAGGAGACGGATGACCTTCTTCACGAGGAAGGGCGGGTCCTGCTTGATCGACATGAGCGTCATCGCGAGGATGAGGTCGCGCTGCATCTTCTGCTCCCGCGACAGCTCCAAAAGCAGCGCGCGCTCCTCCTCGGACATGCCCGGCTCGGGCAGGCCCGGCGGGCCGATCTTGTAGGTGTCGCCGAAGATGAACTGGCTGTACTTGTCGATGAACATGCCCGCGTCGCCCGCGGACGTGAAGCCGCGGAACCTGCGGCGGAGATCAACGCGCGTGGCCTCGCCCCTCGTCGCTCGAGGGGTTCGCTTCTAGTTTGAAGTCCCGCGGCGAGCTCCTCCGCGACGAGAGGAACTGGCTCGTCCAAAAATCGACTTCGATTCGACCGAGCAGTCCGCGCCGCGCTCCTGGGACAGCGGCCGAAGTTTCGAGTCTGTGTTCCCCCGCGCCGCGCTCCACGTCTCCGACAGCAGCCGCTTCACGTCCTTGTGGAGCACCTGCAAAGAAACCAAATAGTCAATGTCTCGACGCAATTTCTTCCGCCATCCTTCGAGAACTCGACGAGAGCGATCGGCTCGTCCAAAAACGACTTCGATTTGATGAAGTTTCCCAAATCAGTGGTTGACTCGCACGCACACACCTCGCGGGCCTCGTGCATCTCGTCGTCGGACTCGATGAAGTCGCTCTCGTCCTCGGGCTCGGGCTCGGGCTCCTCGGGCTCGCCCTCGTCGCCCGCGTTGAGCGCGTCGACGGCCTCGGCGGCCTCGCGCTCCGTGCGCTCGACCTCGGCGAGCGCGTCCGCGTAGGCCTTGGCCGCGAGCTTGAGCTCGGCGTCGCTGAGGCCGCGCTCGTCGAGCTTCGCCTCGGCGGCGGCGGCGGCGAGCTTCGCCTCGTCCGTCGCGGACTTGCGCGGCTCGCGGAGCGGCGGCAGCGGCCGCTGCCGGTCCGCGGGCGGCGCGCCGGCCACGGCGTCCGCGGGCGACCCGTCGGGCGACGGCGCGTGGTCGAGGGCCGGGAGCATGGGCCTGAAGGCCGACGACCCGAGGAGCGGCGCGGAGGACGAGCCGGCGAGGTCCGGCGGCGCGCCGTCGTCCGCGAGCGGCGCGAGCGACCGCGCCTTCGGCTCGGGCGACAGGAACTTGAGGGACCGGCGGCCCTCGGGGATGGGGCTCGGCATGGCGAGGCTCGTGAACTTGGACGGCGTCCGGCTCCCGCGCGCGCTGCCCGGCGCGACCTGCGCGTGCGACGAGTCGAGGCTCGACTCGTCGCTCGCGAGCGACCGGTTCGCGCCGAAGGACCTGGGCGGAACAGGGTGATTCAACAACGTGATTGGTCCGCGCGCGCGCGTTCCAGAACAAGCATCCGCGCTTCGAGAGCGCTCCGAGGGATGATCGCTCGCCCAAACATCAGCCGAAACGAGTGGGAAACGGTCGAGAGAGCAGCCTTTGGGAATTTCGCACCCTTTTCCCGCCCCGTGGCGGACTCGACGCTCAGGCGGTCGTCGTCCGTCGAGTCGCCGCCGTCGTCCTCGGAGCTCGACTGGTCGCCGTCGGCGTCGCTGCCGGCGTCCGACGAGCCCCGGCGCTTCTTCCTGGAGCCGCGCGCCTTCTTCTTCGACGACCGGCGGCCGGACGCGAGCGACGACGCGGAGCTCGCGCGCTGCGCGGCCTTGACGGCGGCGAGGGCGCCGCCGCCGGGGCCCTTGTCGCTGTTGGCGCGCTTGCGGCCCGAGTTGAGCGCCGCGGCGCGGCCGTCCTTGGAGCTCCGCTTCTGCCGCGAGCCGGGCCGTTTCTCCGACGCGCCGCTCCGCGCGGACGCGTCGCTCTTCCCCGCGTCGCTGCCGACGGACGGCGTCGGCGACTGGGACCGGAAGAGGGCGCTGATCTTCGCGCTGAGCTCCGACGCCTCCTCCGACGGCTCGGGCCCCTTCTTCTTGCCGGTCTTCTTGTGGCCGCTGTCGCGGCGGCCGCGGCGCCGCGCGCTGCCCTTGTCGCTGCTCCGCGCGCTGCCCTGGTCGGAGCCCTCCTTCTCGGCGGCGGCGCCGGCCTTGGCGGAGTTGGCGTGCTGGAGCAGGATGTGGCCGCTCAGGCGCCGCAGGGCCTTGTCGCCCGCGCCGTCGCCGTCGAGCGACAGCGCGGGCACGGGCTTCTTCTTCGGCATCTTCGCGCGCATGTGCTCCGCCTCGACGAGGCCCGTCCACCAGGCCATGCCCGGCAGGATGACGGCGCTCACATCGCCGCCCGGCGGGTCCGTCGCCTCGGGGTCGAAGCGCGCGACGGCGAGCGGCGGGAACCGGCGCATGAGCGTCAGGAACTCGGGGAAGTCGACGATGCCGTCGCCGTTGAGGTCGAACTCGGCGAAGATGGCGCAGGCGTCGCGCGCGTCGACGGCCGTGCCCTTCTCCTTGATGTGGGCGCTGAGCTCGTGGAGCTCGAGGCCGCCGTCGCTGTTGACGTCGACGGCGTCGAAGACGCGCCGGTACGCCGCGACGGCCTCGCGGCTCAGGTGCTTGCCCGCCTCGGCGACGTGGGCCTTCGTCGGGTCGCTCTCGACGCGCAGCTTCGGCGCGCGCAGCTTGTGGAGCATCTTCGCCGCCGCGCGCACGGCCGCGATGGCCGCGCGGCCGCTGCCCGCGCCGGACGACTTGCGTTTCCGCCGCTCGCGCGCGGCCGACACGGCGTAGCCGAGGCGCCACAGGGCGACGGCAACGTCCAGGGACCCGTCGGGCAGGATGGCCGACGCGGGCTTCTCCGGCGCCGGGTCCTCGACCGCGGCCGAGTTCGACCGCGACCGCGACGACCTATGAAAGGTTTTCTTTTGCCGGCCGCGACACCATCGGGGACGCCGGCGCGCGACCCGCTCTTGCCGAGGTTCGTCGGCGACGCGCGGCCGTCGGGCGACGTCTGCTCGAAGGACTTGCGCGGCCCCCGCTCCGGCGACGGCGCGTTCTCGAAGGACGCGCGCGGCCCCCGGCCTGTGTGAAAATCAAATAAAAAATGCGCATATGCGACCGTTTTGACACAATGTTTTCGGCTGTGCTTCGAGAACTCGATGAGAGCAATCGATCTGTCCAAAAATCAGCCGAATCGACTTCGATTTGACCGAGCTCGAGAATGTCAAAGTTTGGTCGGGACGTCCCAAAACCAGTGGGTGATTTGCGCACGGCCCCCGGCGGCTCGCGGTGAGCTTCGCCTCGACGGCGAGCTCGACGCGCACGGCCTTGAGCCACTTGATCCAGTAGAGCTGCCACTTGCCCACGGCGCCGGCGCCGTCCTCGCCGCCGTTGAAGCGCGCCATGAGCGCCATGAACTCGTCGCGCTCGATGCCGCCGTTGCCGTCCGCGTCCGCGAGCGTGATCATGCCGTAGGACTCGCGCTCCGTCATCTTGACGCCGAGCTGGGCGAGCGTGCCCATGAGCTCGGACGCCGAGATGGACCCGTCGCCGTTGATGTCGAGCTCGTCGAAGCACGCGCCGTAGTGCTTCCGCTGCTCGCGCGAGAGCCGCGTCGCCGGGTCGTCGAGCGCGAGGCGCGCCTTGACGTCCTCGCGCGTCTCGAGCCGCGGGAACCAGGCCCAGAGCGACGCCCAGCGCGTCTTCTTGAGGCGCGGGTCCTCGCGGCTCGCGAGGCACTCGTAGAACTCGGACCGGCTCAGGCCCCGGTCGTCGTCGCTGTTCCAGTCGCCCGCGGCGACCATGGCCTTGGCGGCCTCGAGGTCGCAGGCGTCGCCCAGGGACTTGAGGCCGCCCTGGAGCGCCTTGGTCGCGAGGCGCGCGGACCCGTCGGGCGGCGGCCGGCCGTCGCCGCCGAACGCGTAGAGCGCGTCGAAGAACTGGTCGAGCGTCCGCCTGCGTGGAACTCAAATCTTCAGCCCGACTTCAATGTGAGCGTATTCGAAAGTCTCGACACAAGCTCTTCGACCGTGCTTCGAGAACTCGACGAGAGCCATCGATTCGTCCAAAAGTCAGCCGAATCGATTTCGATTCGACCGAGCTCGAGAATTTCAAAGTTTGGTCGGGACGTCCCGAACCGGCGGTCGATTTGCGCGCGGGCGTCCGCCGCGCGTGCGTCGACCAGCCCTTGCGGAGGTCGCGCGCCCGGAGGCGCTTCTTCGGCCGCTCCTTGGGCGGCAGGCCCTCCTTCTGGCGGCGCCGCGCCTCGTCGTCCTCCTCCTCGCCCTCGCGGCGCTTCGAGAGCTCGAGGTCCTCGGGCACGGGGAAGAGCCAGCGCCACCACCAGTCGCGCTGGATGACCTTGGCCCGGCCGCGGGCCTTGCGCTTGTTCTTCGAGTTCGGCGGCGCGCGCATGGCCACGTACCAGAGGAACTGCTCCAGGGAGATCTCGCCGTCCTCGGAGCCGGCCTCGACGCACATCTGCACGACTGCGCCCTCGTCGACGTCGACCTTCTCCGCGTTCAGCGCGTCGATGATCTCGCCGCCGTCGAGGCGCCCGCTCTTGTCGTCGTCGATGAGCTCGAAGGCCGCGCGCAGCTCGCGCACCTCGCCCTCGCTCAGCGTCCGCGGCTCCGCGAGGCGCTTGACGGCGTCGGGCGCCGCCGCGCTCAGCGCGAGCGACGCCGCGGACCCGTCGGACCCGTTGGCGCTGTCGACGGAGTTGCGCCGGCTCCGCCGGCCCTTGGCCTCGGCCTCGGCCTTGTCGACCTCGGCGCGCTCCTGCTTGGCGACGAGCCGCATCTGCGCGAGCTTCGGCAGCCACGAGTCGAGCCAGTGCTCGAGGCCCGTCGACTTCTCGTTGCGGGCCATGTCGCGCGACTTGATCATCATCTCCAGGAACTCGTCCCACTCCACGGACCCGTTGCCGTCGATCTACGAACACAGTGCATTCGCGTCGGCTTCTTCGGACGCGGGCCGCGCGCGTCGGCCGTGCGGATCATCTCCTCGGCCTCCTTCTCGCTGATGGTCACGTTCACGTGCTTCAGCAGGCCCACGCGCAGCTCCTCGGCGTCCAGCGATCCCTCGCCGGACGTGTCGAGGTCGATGAACCTAGGCGCGGGGGTCCTGTCCTGCCCACGCGCGCGTGCGGGGGACGCCGCGGCCGCGCAGGCCGCGCAGGCGCCGGTACTCCTCGGAGCTGAAGCCCATGATCATGTCGTCTTCCGCATCCGCCGCCGCGGCGGCCGCCGCCTCCTCCGGCATGGGAGGTGCCGAGGCTGTCGCTTCACCTCGTAAAGCACTCTCCCATACACTGGCCGAAGAGCCGACTCGATGCTGCCGCTCTAATAGATTTGAATGCATCATCGGATAAATCTTCGTGGTTTCTGTCGTCTTGAAGCTCACGATGGCGGCCCTCGTCGAGGCCTCGGCCCTGCAGCCCTGGGCCGTGCTCAAGGCCTTCGCCGGCGGCGTCGCGCGCGGCGAGGACACGGCCTTCGAGTGGGACCCGCCGGACGCGCCCAAGTCGTGCACGAGCTGGAACGAGGCCGTGCACGGCGCCGAGCCCCTGGCCCTGCTCGAGGGCGAGGCGCGCGAGAACTTCGCGACGGCGCCGAAGCGGCCGCCGGCGCAGTTCAAGAGCTTCCGCGACTTCGCGATCAAGCTCAACTCCCAGGAGCGGAGCAACAAGCGCGCGCGGCCCATGCTCTTCGTCGGGGGCTGCCACCGGTCCGGCACGTCCGTGCTCGCGCGGCTCCTGAAGCGGAGCCCGCTCGTCGCCGGCATGGAGGACACGGACGCGCCCGAGGACGAGGGCCAGCACCTCCAGCACGTGCTGCCGACGGACGAGGAGCACGGCGGCGTCGGCTGCTTCGCGCTCGACGCAAAGTACCGCTGGACGGAGCGGACGACGGACCCGGACCCCGTCGCCTGCGGCGAGCAGCTGCTCTACAGCTGGGGCAACTGGTGGCTGCGGTCGAGCCGGCGCCGGGGCCGGTCCGCGCGGCCGGGCGTCGTCATGCGGCCGCTGCTCCTCGAGAAGACGCCGAGCAACATCGTGCACACGCGGCGGCTCCCGGGGCGGGAACGGGGTGATTCGACGTCGCTTCAACGTGAGTGTTTCGTGCGCGCGCGTTCCGGCAACCGAATCCACGCGTCGAGGGCGCTCCGAGAGATGATCGCTCGTCCAAAGATCAGCCGACACGAGTGGACAACGACCGAGAGAGGAGCCTTTGGGAAGTTCGCACCCTTGTCCCGCCCAGGTGGCTCCGGCGCGCGTTCGGCCCCGCGGCGCGGTTCCTCATCATTGTGCGCCACCCGCTGGCCTGCGCGCTGGCGACGCGCGAGTTCCTCAAGGAGTTCGAATCGCCGACGCCGACGCTGCGCACGTGCCTGAGGAACTGGGTCGCCGCGCACGCGGCGCTCGACGAGGACGCCGTCGAGCTCCGGCGCATGGCGCTCCTCGACGACGTCAGGCACGGCTCGGGCGACGCGTGCCTCCTGCGCATCGCCTTCTCCGACCTCGTGCGGGACCCGGCGGCCGTGCTCGAGCGCATCGGCGCGGAGCTCGTCGACGCGCCGCTCCACGTGGCGGCCGAGGACGTCGCCGCCGTCGTCAAGGAGGGCGACCCGGACGACAAGTACCGCGCCATGTGGCGCGAGTGGCCGGACAGGCCCTTCCGCTGGGACGAGAACGGCACCTTCGAGCTCGGCTCGGACAAGCCCGCGCCCCCCGCGCGCCGCGAGGCGGGCGCCGCGGGCATCGTCGCCGAGTTCACGGAGCCGCTCGCGCGGCTGGGCTTCCCGCGCGCGTTCAAGGACGACTGGGCGAGGACGCCGCCGCCGGAACCCGCGGATTAAAGCCTCGGACGTTCCGGCCTTTGGGGCTGCGCACTTGGCTGCGCAAGCCTCGCAGTCGCACGCTTGGACGGCAAGGTCGGCCCCGGCAATGGTTGATGCTTCCTTGGGTGCACAACGATGCATCTATGGAATGCTGGCATAATGCGCGCTAATACCATGCTCCAGCTCGCGCTCCTCGGCGCCCTGACGGCGCGCGCGGCCGGCGATTGCGCCTGCACCGACTTTGCAATGCCTGCGATGTCCTCACGCGGCGTCCACGGGGGGTACCTCGGCGAAACTGACCAGGAAATACTTGGTAGATTACATCTCACAGGAAGGCAGCTCCGGAGGCTGGGCTTCGCTCGTGGGGCTGTCGGCCTGCGGCTGGATCGAGGCGAACGGACCGCTCGGCGGCGGGCCGTCGAACGGCTACGGGGGCTGCGACGGGTAGTGAGCTTTGGTTCGTCTTGAAGGACTCGGATGGCAACTACATTTCATATTGCTGGGGAACGCACCAGCTGTGCACATACCCATTCGGACCACGCGCAAAGGACTGGGGCAGCTTTGAAAGCGCAGCGCAGTTTTGCTTTGTCAACGGTGCCCTGATGGTTGACCTCGGCGCGGTTATCAACCCAGATCCGCCTTACGACGTCCGCTTTGTCACCGAGAGTATCGCGGCGACCGCAACTGCGAAGAGTGCCAGCTTTGTGTTTGAAATTGCCCGGTAAACTGACCCGGTGGCGCCTGCGAGCGCCTACGCGTCCTTTGGGAGGTAAACATCGGCTAGATGCACATGTTGAAGCCGCTAGGCCTGCTAGGATCGAGCAAGCGACTTCGTCATCGCGCGTGCCGACCTAAACGTCGTCGCGGACCGGACCTGAAACGATGGCTCGCCTCATTGTCCTACTCGCGCTGCTCGCGACGGGCGCCGACGCGCTCACGCGCGCGACGCCGTCTATGGGCCTGCGCACCTGGGTGAAGGGCAAGCTCGGCGGCGGCAGCAAGGGGACGATCCTCACGGAGTCGCCGGCGGGCAAGAAGCAGGACTTCCTCGAGGCGTCGCCCTACTGGGACCAGTCCACGGTGCCCGTGAACACCTACAAAAACAAGTCGCCCTACACGACCAAGGTCGTGAGCTGCAAGCGCATCGTCGGCCCCGAGGCGACGGGCGAGACGTGCCACATCATCTTCGACCACCAGGGCAAGATGCCCTACTGGGAGGGCCAGTCCTTCGGCGTCATCGCCGACGGCACGAACCCGAAGAACGGCAAGCCCCACACGGTGCGCCTCTACTCCATCGCCGCGTCGCGCTACGGCGACGACATGACGGGCAAGACGACGTCGCTCTGCGTGCGCCGCGCGACGTACTGGGACCCGGAGATGGGCAAGGACGACCCGGCGAAGAAGGGCGTCTGCTCCAACTTCATCTGCGACTCCAAGCCCGGCGACGCGGTCAAGATGACGGGCCCCTCCGGCAAGGTCATGCTCATGCCCGAGGAGAAGGCGGACACGGACTACATCATGGTCGCCACGGGCACGGGCATCGCGCCCTACCGGTCCTTCATCCGCCGCCTCTTCACGGAGACGACGCCCGCCGGCGAGGCCTACAAGGGCACGGCCTGGCTCTTCCTCGGCGTCGCCAACAGCGACGCGCTCCTCTACGACGAGGAGTGGCAGGCGACGCTCGCCAAGTACCCGGACAACTTCAAGCTCGACTACGCGCTCAGCCGCGAGCAGTCCAACTCCAAGGGCGGCAAGATGTACATCCAGGACAAGGTCGAGGAGTACGCCGACGAGATCTTCGACCGCCTCGGCAAGGGCGCCGTCATGTACTTCTGCGGCCTCAAGGGCATGATGCCGGGCATCCAGGACATGCTCAAGAGCGTCTGCGACAAGAAGGGCCTCGACTACGACGAGTACATCAAGGACCTCAAGAAGAAGGGCCAGTGGCGCGTCGAGGTCTACTAGGCGCCGGGAGCTGCGCCGTCCGCGGCCGCGCCTCGACACCTCCTGCATGCTAACAATCTGCCAGTGTGTCTACTATCGGGGAGCGCCGCCGTGCGCCATGGCCCACACTCCCGGCCGGCTACGTACGGTCCCTAGCACCCTATGGCCGCCGCCTTCTTCGATCGCGCGGGCACATGGTCCCGCAGTTGGGCGCGCCGCAGCCGAGGTGCGAGCCCGCGCCGCGGTTGTGCGTGACGGCGACGGTCGTGCTGCCCTTGAGCCGCGTCGAGAGCGGGAAGACGCGCCGCGCGGCGACGTGCCAGTAGTAGGTGATCCACCAGGAGAACATCGTCGCGCCGGAGACGTCCCGGTGCGTGCGGACGCAGCACGGCTCCGTCGGGCCGGCGCAGGCGTAGAAGGAGGCGAGCGAGTTCAGGACGCTCGCCGCCGCGGCGCGCGGCAGGATCCAGAAGTTGTCCGGCGCCCCCTTGCCGCCGGCGTACCACGTGCCGGCGTCGTACTCGCAGTGGGGCCCGAAGGGGAAGTCGTAGAGCACGTCGGGCCGGCTGAAGACGACGGCGTCGAAGCGCTTGTTGGTGGCGCGCTCGCGGCCGGCGACGAGCGCGTGGCCCGCGGCCATGGACGACCACCACGCGTGCGCGCGCCGCCGGTAGTCGTCGCGCGCGAAGCCCGTGCCCGCGACGCAGTCCCGGGCCGCGGGCGCCAGGGGCGGCGGGTCCGCGGCCGTGTCGTTGTCGGGCACGCGCGCGACGACCGACGGCCCGAGCGCGGCGTCGAGCGCGGCCCACTGCGCGGCCGTGACGTTGCCGACGCCGCGCAGGTAGAGGAGCACCTCCGAGTCCCGCGCGGCGGCGAAGGAGTCGACGACGAAGCGCTTGTAGGACCCGTGGACGTCCGGCCGCTCGACGAAGCCGCGCGACGCGCCGGCGACGAGGAACGCGACGCGCGGCGGCGCGCCGGCGCAGGTCCGCGTGCTGTTGCGGCAGGGCAGCCCGCCCCAGTCGAGCCACGGCGCGAGGCCGTTGTACTTGTGCACGAAGTACTTGATCGTCTGGCGGTCGTCCGCCGCGGCCAGGGCCGCGACGAGGAGGCGCCGCAGCATCAGGCCGGGCTGCCGCCCCACGAGGAAGCCAGCATCGCGCCCTGGGGCAATGGTGAGCTAATGGTGCGGAGATGTTGATGCGGCTCTCACAGCTCAGCTCTCCGAAGCGGCTGAGCTCTCCCGACGCGCTGGCCGACGTTCTTCTGAATCGTAAGCAGCTCCGCGGCCCCTCGGTCGCGCCCCTCTCTCCAGAATGCAAAAGCAGCCGCCGCCCCCGGCGTGGGTAGACCAGCTGAAGAAGGCCGCCGCACCGCGGACGACCGTGGACGTGAACAAAATGAAAGCGCACCCGTCGCTGCTCCCGTACCAGGTCGAGGCCGTCGGGTTCGCGATGGAACGCGGCGGCCGCGTCTTCTTAAACGATGAGATGGGCCTGGGCAAGACCGCGCAGGCCTTGACGCTCATGCGCCAGTACCCCAACGACTGGCCGGTCTTGGTCGTCGCGCCCAAGGCCGTGCTCACGCAGTGGGAGCAGGAGGTCCACCGCTGGATCGCGTCCAACGTCGTCGTCCAGATCGCGCGCGAGGGCAAGAAGACGGTCACGCGCATGGGCGCGAAGCAAACGATACTCACGTCGTGGAACTACGACAGCCAGATCTGCATCTGCACCTACGACATCTTCCGGGCGAACCGGACGCTGCAGGCGCCGCCCGGGGGTGCGCAGTGGCGCTGCGTGATCCTCGACGAGAGCCACAAGTGCAAGGACCCGAGCACCAAGCGCGCGAAGGAGATCATGCCCGTGGTCATGCGCGCGGATCACGTCGCGCTGCTGACCGGGACGCCGGCGCCCGCCGGCGCGAACGACCTCTGGAGCCAGCTCAAGATGGTGCTGCCCAAAGCCGCGCAGGATCACATGCCGTTCCACAACCAATGGCAGCAGCGCTACTGCGTGTGCAAGGAAATCTACACGGGCTTGCGCACGATCGAGAATTGGACGGGATTCAATCCCGGGACCCAGACCGAGGTCAACGGCCTGTTGAAGACGATGCAGATGCGGCGGCTTAAGACGGAGGTCCTGACGCAGCTCCCCGAGAAGCAGCGGCACGTGCTCTACCTCGAGGCGTCGCCGGGCGCCGCGAACAAGGCGAGCGGCCTCAAGGCGAAGTTCGAGGCCCTGCGGAACAAGGACGAGATCCTCGCCGCGGACCAGGAGCCGGTGCACGAGGTGATGAAGCTCTTCAGTGGCACCGCGGTCCTCGCAGCCGAGCCGTGCGTCGAGTGGGTCAAGGAGCACTTCTTCGAGGACGACAACGACACGCAGAAGATCATCGTCTTCGCGCACCACCGCGAGGTGCTCGACAGGCTCGAGGCCGGCTTCCAGAAGATCAAGGGGGCGACGACGATCCGCGTCGACGGCTCGGTGCCCGGCGCGCAGCGCGAGGAGCGCATTAAGCGGTTCAAGACGGACGCGACGTGCCGCGTGGCCCTGCTGTCCATGGGCACGTGCTCCAACGGCCTGAACATGACCGAGGCGTCGACGATCCTCTTCGCGGAGATGACCTGGTCGCCGACGGACCACATGCAGGCCGAGGACCGCATCCACCGCGTCTCGCAGACGAACGCGTGCAACATCTACTACGCGATGCTCCCGAATTCCCTGGGCTCGTTCATGTTCCGGCGGCTCCAGGCGAAGGCGCGCGACATCCGCGAGGTCGTCGACGGCCCGGACGCGACCGACCCGTCCTTGCGGACGACGAACTTCGTGACGCCGACGAAGCCGCCGGCCGCGGCGCGCGTGAAGCCCGCGGCGCCGGTGACGCCGCCCGTCGTCGTCGACCTCACGGAGGACTTCGAGGACGCGGCCGACGACGACGACGAGCCCATCGACCTCACGCAGGAGGAGGCCGCGCCCGCCTTGCCGGTCGTGACGCCGGCGGAGAAGAAGCGGCCGCGGGAGCCGGACAGCGACGACGACTCGGTCCTCGGCTACGACAGCGGCTTCGGCAAGAAGGCGCGCGGCTAATTTTACGTAACGACCACACATTGTTACACATCGACGCCCTTCTGTCGCTCGTTCGCCAGGAAGGCGGCGACGGTCTCCTCGTACCAGGCCAGCGGCCGCGGCTTCTCCTCGGCGCGCGGCTCCTCCCTGCTCGCGGTCTTGCCCGACTTGGGCAGCGACAGGTCGAAGAGCGGCAGGTCGCGGCGCTCCGGCGGCGGCGCGAAGTTCGTCTCGGCGCCGGGGCCGTGGAGCCCGCGCGCCGTCTCGTCGTAGCAGGCCGCGGCCTCCGTCGCCGACGCGTACCAGCCGAGGCAGTAGTCGTAGCCCGTGCGGCCGCGGATCGTCGCGCGGTACTTGCCGGAGCTCGAGTTGTACTCGACGCCGAGGTAGGCCGTGCGCTCGAGGGCGGCGTCGGCGTCCGTGGGCGCCCGCTTCCGCGACGACCCGCGGGCCTTGCCGCCGCCGCCGCCGGATCCGCCGCTCGCGGTCGACCGCGCGTCCGCGTCGCCCTTGCGGCCCGCCTTGGCCGCGGGCGCGGGGCCCGGCGACGACGCGCGCTTGCCGCCGGCCTTCGGTGACGCCTTTTTCGGAGGCGGCGGCTTGCGCGCCGGAGGCGCGGGCGCCTCGTCGGCGCCGCCGACGGCGCCGAAGAGCGTCGGCCGCTTGTTCGCGTTGGCCCACTTGGCGTCCTCCTCGCGCTTCGACAGCGCGAGCACGCGCTGCAGCTCGCGCTCGAAGGACGGGTCCTCGACGGACAGGCGGTCCGGCCGCTTCGAGCGACGCTGGCGCGTCGGTTCGAGCGCCATGCTCTCTCCGCTGACCTCGGGCTGACATTGAAGACGAAACTGAAGGCGGTGCAGCCCGGCTGCGAGCGCCGAGCCGACGCCGTGCGCCGCGCGGCCATGGCCGCGATGATGCAGTCCGAGGACGGCACGATCGACCTCGCCGCGCCCATCGACTCGGCGGCGCACGACCGATTCCTGCTCCAGTACCTCCACAACCAGTGCATCCTCGACATCGTCTTCGAGGAGCACCGGTGCGCCTCCGTCGCCGCGCGCGCGCGTGATTTTTTCTCGCCCGCGCAGGGCCTATCGCGAGGCGCCGTGCAAGCTCGCGTACCTCTGCGCCGGCCCGCCGAGCACGAAGCCCAAGCCCGCGCGCGAGGCGGCGCCCGCGACGGCGGCGGACCTGAAGCTCACGGAGGCGCCGGCCTTCAACCCGAGCGACATGGACAAATACGCCTTCAACTGCTGCAACTGCGGCCAGCGCGCGCGCGCGCCGCGTTCCTCCGGACCTCGTCGACGCGCGCGAGCGCGCGCCTCCCGCCGCAGGTCGGGCCGCTGCGGTACGCGCAGCACCTCGACAAGTGCATGGCCAAGGGCGGCCGCCGCGCCGCGCGCGAGGGCAACGAGGCGCGCCGCGCGTCGGCGGGCTCCGGCAACCGCTAGCGCGGCCCGCGGCCGCACCGCGCCGCGCTTGGAGCGCCGCGCGGTCGACGCGGATCGTAGATGGACCCGGCCCTTGCTCGGTGGTGCGACGGGCGCCGCCGGGGGGCCGACCCGGCGACCTGTCGAGTCGACGAGGCCTCGCGTCGCGTCGGAGGACGTCGCGCGGCGCGTCGACCCCGGGCGGCCTTCGGGGGTTTGAGAGGAGGGGGGTTTGAGAGGGATGGAGACCAAGTCCTGCGCCGCGAAGAGCTAGGCGCGTGCGCCGACTGGTGCCAGCTCGACCTTCGACGCGTGTGACCCGCGCCTCGAGGAGCGCGTCGTCCTGCTCGCGGACGCGCTCGCGCTCCTGCTCCAGCTCCAGCGCGTAGCGCCGCCGCGGCTCCGGCTGCGCCGCCGCGCGAGCACCTTCGCGTCGCAGCGGCGCGCGCGCGGCGCGACGCCGGCACCATGTGGCGCTCGTTCCCGTTCTTCCCGTCGCACAGCGCGGGCGTGGACCTCGAGGTCGGCGTCTGCCACCTCGAGCTCCCGCTCGACGACGTCGACCCGGACGGCGTCTACGCCGAGGAGGGCGCGGCGCCGAGCGTCTGGGCGCGGGGCAGCGAGGAGGAGTTCTACGTCTGCGGCACGGTGCTCTGCCACGGCGCGCCGACGCACCGCGTGCCCATCTCGACGCGGACGGCCGCGAGCTTCGACGCGCGGCGGTGCGCGTTCGAGTTCGGCGAGCTGTTGCGGTTCCCCGTGAAGCTGCGGGACCTGACGCGGGACGCGGCGCTCGCCGTGACGGTCATGGGCGAGGACCGGCGCGTCGTCGCGTCGGCGTCGACGCCCCTCTTCGACGGCCGGGGGCGCCTCGCGCGGGGCCTCGTGAAACTGGCGCTCCACGACGAGACGGCCGCGGGCGAGGCCGCGGCGGCGCTCGCGGCGGCGAACCGCGCGACGGAGCTCGGCGGCGCCGTCGGCGCCTTCGCGCGCGAGCTGCGGGGCGACGAGGAGTCCCGGGCCGGCTACGGGCCCTACGCGGCCGACGACCACCTCTTCCGCGCCGAGAAGCTCCGCGAGAACTTCGGCGGCGCGGCCGGGGCCGGCGCGGCGCCCGCCGCGGCCCGGCCGCCGGCGACGCCGGAGCGGCGCGCGAGCGCCGCGGGCGCGCCGGGCTCCGCGGGCGGGCCCGCGGCGCCGGCGGCCGCCGCGGGCCGCACCGCGTGGCTCGACGCGATGACGCTCGAGCGGCTCGGCCGCCGGCGGGCGGCGCTCGAGGACCGCGAGGCCTGGCTCCGCGCCGTGCACACGACGGCGGCGGAGCGCGCCATGGCCGGCCGCGCGTTCCTGAGCCTGGAGCTGCCGAGTCTGGAGCACCCGGTCCTCTACGAGGAGAAGCCCTACGCGGCCGCGCCCACGGTGCCGAAGATCGACAAGGCCTTCCGGGACCTGCGCGCCGGCGACGACGGCGCCCTGCCGCGGCGGGGCGGCGGCGCGGGCCTCGGCGCCGCGGGCGCCGCGGACGACGACGTGACCGTCAACGTCGTCGAGGCGACGCTCGCGGACATGGGCATCACGGCGTCGTCGAAGCACGGCTCGGGCGGGAGCCTCTTCGACCTCTACGGCGCGTCCGACGGCGACGCGAAGCCGCGGCGCGAGCCGCGCGGGCCCGCGGCGCGCGAGCGGCGCGACGTCTTCGTCTACGACTACGAGGACGCGCCGCGCGGCGGGGCGTCGAACCCCATCGAGGACAAGTACCGCGCCCTCGCGCGCGACGCGACGCGGGCCCTCGTGGACCGCGAGCTCAAGCCCAACGTCGACGAGGCGCGCGCGATCGCGAAGATCGTGTCCGCGCCGGGCGACGCGCTGAGCCCGCGCGACAAGGAGCTGCTCTGGAAGTTCCGCTACACGCTCGTGACGGACAAGCACGCTTTACCCAAGTTCCTGCTGAGCGTGGACTGGCGCGTCGAGGCGGAGCTCGCGCAGGTCCGGGAGCTGCTCGCGGCGTGGCGGTCGCGCGCGCCCGTCGACATCGCGGACGCGCTCAAGCTGCTGGGGCCGGAGAAGGCCTTCCAGCACGAGGTCGTGCGCGCCTTCGCCGTCGACGCCCTGCGCGCCGCGAGCGACGAGGAGCTCGTGGCCTACCTGCTGCAGCTCGTGCAGGCGCTCCGCTACGAGGCGCGGCGCGACGCGGCGCTCAGCGAGGCGGCGCCGGCGGAGGCGAGCCGGGGCGGCAAGGACGTCGTGGAGATGGAGCGCGCCGACGGCGGGCGGGGCGCGAAGAAGAAGGGCGCGCGGTCGCCGCTCGCGGCGTTCCTCTCGGAGCGCGCCGCGCGGTCGCTGTCCGTCGCGAACTTTGTGTGGTGGTACCTGAAGGTGGGCGCCGAGGACGCGAGCGACGAGGCGGCCTGCGCGACGTACCGCGTGTTCCGGGGCCGCTTCGCCGAGGACCTGGCGACGCGCGCGCCGGACGTCTACGCGACGCTCCGCGCGCAGGAGGAGCTCGTCGTGTCCGTGCTCGAGGCCCAGAGCCGCGCCAAGGAGGAGAAGGGGCGCAAGGATCTGAAGGAGGAGGCGCTGCGCAAGTCCCTGAGCCAGCTGCGCGTGCCGCGGCTCGTGACCGCGCGCGGCGTGCCCATGCCGCTCGACCCGACGGTGTCCGTGACGGGCCTCCACGACCCCGCGCGCGCGCCGAAGATCTACCGGTCGGCCATGTACCCGGCGCTCGTCGCCTTCGAGCGGAAGCCCGAGCCGCCGGACGCCGCGGCGCTCGCGGCGCGCGCGGCCGCGCCGCCGCCGCCGCCCGCGCGCGCGCGCGCGGCGCCGCCGCCCGCGGAGCGCGAGCCCCGGAGCTCGTCGCTCGGCGGCGACGGCTCCTTCTTCGACGCGCTGGCGACCGCGGCCTTCGGGAGCGACGCGGGCAAGGACGTCGTCGAGCTCGAGCCCGCGGAGGGCGACCGCGTTAGCGGCGACGGCGGCCGCGGCTCGGGCGCGGCGCCGCCCGCGCCCTACCGCGTCATCGTCAAGAACGGCGACGACCTGCGCCAGGACCAGCTCGTGCTCCAGTTCGTGCTGCTCATGGACCTGCTGCTGAAGCGCGTGAACCTGGATTTGAAGCTCACGTGCTACCGCGCGCTCGCGACGGGCGCGTCGTCGGGCCTGCTCCAGTTCGTCGAGGACTCCGCGGCGATCTCGTCGATCTCTGGCGGACCACGGCGGCTCCATCACGGCCTTCCTCCGGCGCTGGAACCCGGACCGGCGCGCGGCGGACGGCGTGTCGGCCGAGGCGCGCGACAACTTCACGCGGAGCTGCGCGGGCTACTGCGTCATCACCTACCTGTTGGGCATCGGCGACCGCCACCTCGACAACATCATGATCGCCAAGGACGGGCGCCTCTTCCACATCGACTTTGGGTTCATCCTCGGCAAGGACCCGAAGCCGTACCCGCCGCCGTTCCGGCTCACCAAGGAGATGGCCGAGGCCATGGGCTACCCGGACGACCCCAACTACACGCAGAAGTTCAAGACCAAGTGCTGCCAGGCCTACACCTGCCTCCGCAAGCACGCGCCCCTCCTGCTCAACCTCATGTCGCTCATGAAGGACGCGGGCATCGAGCACCTCTCCGAGGAGTCCGACGTGAAGCTCGCCAAGTTCCAGGACCGCTTCCGCCTCGACCTCAGCGACGAGGACGCCGAGCGCTTCTTCCTCTCCCTCATCAACGAGTCCCTCAACGCCCTCGTCCCCGTCGTCCTCGAGAAGTTCCACAAGATCGCCGTCTGGATGAAGTAGTACTAGTAGGATTTTACGTAGCGTCGTTCGCGCCGAGGCGGTCGAGGGCCACGCGGGCGTCGGATAGGGACTGGCGCGCCGCGGGTTTCACCAACTCGAGTCGACGTCGACGACTCGACGAGAGGCAGAGCCTGGTCCAACCTGCCAACGCGCAGCACTGCCGAAAGACAAGAGCATAGGCAACGTCCCTTCGTCACCGGCCCCCTAAGCGATGAGATCCTCCTCCTCCCCGTCGGCAACACCGAGGAAGATGCGCTCGAGCTCGACGAGGGACTTGCCCTTGGTCTCGACGGCGAAGAGGGCGAGGAGGCCCGCGGAGGCGAGGGAGAAGGCGGCGAAGGCGAAGAAGACGCCCTGCTGCGTGAGGGCCGTCTCGAGCTCCTTGAAGTAGTTCGTGAAGAGGAAGTTGAAGCCCCAGAAGACGGCGACGGCCGCGCCCGAGACCTGGGCGCGGATGCGCTCGGGGCTCACCTCCGTCGAGTAGGCCCAGGCGAGGGGCCCGACGCCGAAGGAGATGCAGGCGACGTAGAAGACGACGGCGACGATGGGGAGCCAGGCGTTGAGGCCCGGGTCGTCGAGCGCGTACGAGAGGCCGAGGACGCCGCTGCCGAGCGCCGCGCCGACGAGGGAGCCGACGAGGAGGGGCTTGCGGCCGAACTTGGGGATGAAGTAGAGGATGCCGAGCAGGGAGATGAGCACCTGGGCGGCGCCGTAGCCGAGCGCGCCGAGCTCGACGGACTTGTCGCCGTCGTCCGTGTCGCCCGCGGCGGCGAGGATGTCGTTGAGGTAGGAGTTGACGATCTTCTGGCCGCTGAGGGAGAAGGCGCCGACGGTCGCGACGCCGAGGCAGGCCGGGTAGAGGTAGCGGCGCGCGCAGAGCGGGTCCGCGCGGGCCGCGGCGCCGGGCTTGGCCGCGTGGAGCGCGTGGAGGTCGCGGACCGTCGCGTCGTGGTCGCCGCCGCCGGCGCCGTGGATGGCGACGAGGGCCCGCTTCGCGGCGTCGAGGCGGCCTTGGCGCACGAGGTGGGGCGGCGCCTCGGGGAAGCACGCGCCGACGAGCGCCAGGTGCACCGCCGCGGGCGCGACGCCGAACGCGGCCATGACGCGCCACCAGTGGGCGCGGCTCGACACGCCGAGGCCGAAGAGCTGGGTCGTGAAGATGCCGCAGCAGAGCACGAGGTTGAGCATGCCCATCAAGATGCCGCGGCAGCTCGGCGGCGCGCACTCGCCGACGTAGGGCTGGATGAGCGCGCTCGACGCGCCCTGGGCGAAGCCGATGACGAGGCGCGCGGCGAGCACCGTCGTGTAGGACCGCGCGCAGGCCAACAGGCCGTAGCCGGCCATCCAGGGCGCGCAGTTCAGCAGCAGCAGCCGCCGGCAGCCGAGCCGGCCGCTGAGCCGGCCCGCGAGCAGCGCGGCGCCGAGCGCGACGAGGTCTGGGCAGGCGACGACGAGCTCCGCGCGGCTGCAGATGGCGTCGCCCGCGGCCCAGCCCGACCCGCAGAGGCCCGTGTCCGCGATGATGCTGCGGATCGTCGGGCCGCTGAAGGACACCGTGAAGCCGATGAGGTAGGCCTGCAGGTCGACGACGAGCGTCGCGAGCACGTAGAAGGGCAGCCGCGACGGGAGCTTCTGCGGCGGCGGGGGCGCTGGATCTTGCAAGGTGCCCAGCAGGGGGGCGTCGCGCTCGTGCTCCATATTCTCGGGTGTGGTCCAATGGGCAGCTCGCTCATCCAAGCAGCGCAGGCCTGGTCGAACGTGCAGCGCTGTTGAACAGCTTCACTCGGTGCTTCGCCGCCTTGAGCAATGTCGAGCTCTTCGGCGCCCGAATCCGAGCTCTTCGGCCCCCGAATCCGCGCGCCGGCAGAAGCACCGTGCCCCTGGGACGTCGTCATACGCGTTTCGACCTTCGGCAACGCCTATCTCCTCAACGCCTTCCGCGCCGTGAGCAAAAGCGCTCAGAACGAGATCTCGCGGATCGTCGACGAGCGGCTCCTGCCCGAGCACCGCCGGCTGGCCCAGAGCCTCGTGCGCCGGACCCTGCGGCGGTCGGCGCTGCGGCGCGCCTCCACGGCGCCGGATCTCGAAGACGGCGCCGCCGGCGCCGCCGGCGCCGCGGACGACGCGCTCTCGTCCGCGCTCAACTCCGCGGACTTTGTCGAGTCGCTGCGGCGCGCGGCGACGATGCCCATGCTGCGGTCCGTCGAGCTCCTCGGCGCGCGGCCCGCGATCTCGCGCGTGTCGCTGGCGCTCCTGAGCCTCCGGAGCGACGACGCGGCCGGGAGCCCGTCGGAGGCCGTCGGGCTGGCGGCGGACGGCGCGTTCTGCGACCTCGTCGACGCCGTGCGGCGCGACGACGGCGCCGCCGTCGAGGCGCTCGTGCTCGACAAGGGCGCGGCCGTGGACCACCGGCCGCGCGACGGCCGCTACCCGTGCCTGCACCAGGCGGCGATGGACGGCCGCGCGGTCGCCGTCGCCGCGCTGCTCCGCCTCGGCGCCGCGGCGACCGTCGTCGCCGACAACCAGCTCGCGCTCAACCTCGCGGCGTGCTACGGCCGCGAGGCCGCGGTCCGGGCCTTCCTCGAGCACGCGCCGGACGTGCTCGACCTCCAGGACGACTTCGGCGCGACGGCGCTCGCGACGGCGACCTTCTACTCGCAGGCGCCCATCGTCGAGGTGCTCCTCGACGCCGGCGCCGACGCGACGGTGCCCTCGACGCTCGGCAAGACGCCCCTGGACATCGTCCGCGGGCGGCTCGAGCTCCCGGACGCGCGCCGGGAGCTCCACGACGCGCGGGAGCACATCCGGGACCTCCTCGAGCGCGACCGCGCGCGGCGCCTCGGCGCGGCGCCGGAGTGCAAGTCCGAGTAAGCTTACCTCCCTCGTAATCTCCTCCCCGCGTCGACGCGCGCGGACCCGCCGGCGACGACGTCGACGAGCCGCCGGAGCCGCGGAAGGTACGCGTCCACGGCCATCGTCGTCTCCGCGGGCAGGTGGACGAAGACGACGGGCACGAGGGAGCGCTCGCCCAACAGCGGCGCCCCGCCGTCGTGGCCGCGGACGCGCGCGAGCGTCCGGTAGTAGGCCTCGTTGCAGAAGAAGACGCCCGCGTCCGTGCTCCACTCCTCGTCGACGAGCACGAGCCGCCCGAGCGGCGCCGTCGTCGCGAGGACGCAGGGCGCGCCGGGGATCGCGGGCGTCGTCGCGCACGAGCCGTCGTCGCCGGCGCCGAGCACGTTGTGGCCCGCGATCTCGACGCGCAGGTCGCGGCTCGACTCCTCGAGGCCGAGGTGGACGACGGCTTTGAAGGGCCGCGTCGCGAGCGCCGCCGCGGCCCAGGACGCGCCAATGGTCGACACGGGCAGGAGCTCCGCGAAGATCCGCGCCGCGGCGCCGCGCGGGCCGACGAGCGACCCGTTGAGCGCGCGCGCGGCGACCTTCGACGGGTTCTCGACGCCGTCGAACTCGACAAAGCCCGTGACGAGCACCTCCGACGACGGCGCCGCGGCGCCCTCCGGCACGACGTCGCCGACGCGCACGGCGACGACGACGAGGACGACGAGGAGCAGCGCGCACGCGACGAACGCGTAGAGCGCTGTGTGCTCCTCCGACCGCTCGTGGCGCGCGCGCCGCCGCCGGTCCAGCGCGTCCGTGCTCTCGTAGGCGTGCTGCTCCATAGCGACGCTGCGCGCGCGCGGGCGCGGCAAGGGCTCAGTGCAAGCAGTGTGCAAGTTGGAGTTCAACGAGGACTCGGGCACCGTAAAAAGCCCCCTTTAGCAGAGGCGCGGACTTGCGTCGATCGGAGCGAAGAAGGGGGGGGGACGAAGCCCGCACGCTCAGTACGCGGGCTTGGTCTTCATGAAGTCGGCGATGAGGCAGCAGCCCTCGAACTTGCGCTGCTTGCCGAAGAGCATCTCGGGCATGAGCACCTTGCCCGCGATGTCGATGACGCTGCAGAAGGTGCCGACCTCGCCGTCGATGGTCTCCTCCGTGCGGATCACGAAGATGTGGGAGTCGTTCGTGCCCGGCACGTAGAGGAAGTCCGAGCAGCCGCGGAGCGGGAGGAACGTCAGCGCGGGCTTCGCGATGACCTTCGACGCGTCGAAGTCGTCGTCGCAGGCGAGCATGAGGTTGCAGCACTTGGCCTCGTCGATGACCTCGTCGTAGGGCTGGCGGCTGAGCTTGCGCGGGAAGAAGAGCCACTTCTTGTGGACGTCGGACCAGCGGCCGGACTCGTGGATCATGTAGCCCGCGCCGTGCGGGCACTGGGCCGCGGCGCGCAGGGCGCCGTACTGCGTCGACCAGTCGATGTCCGTCACGGCGAAGGCCTCGTCGAGCGCCTTGATCCACATCTCGCCCTTGTGGACGACGTTGCCGTCGTCGTCCGTCCGCTCCTTGCCCGTCGACCCGATGAGGAGCTTGCCGTCCTTGATCGTGGACCACTCCGTCTTCAGGCCCTTGTTCTTCGAGCCGTCGCCGAGGAGCACGCGCACGCGCTTGCCGTCGTTTTCCACGGGCTTGATGAGGAACTTGCCCGCGCTGGCGTCGGGCGCCGGGTTCCAGACGACCTCGTCGACGTTGCCCGTGCGGTCGCAGGCCGTCACGAGCTTGCCGCCGTACCACTCGAGCAGGGAATACTCGGCGCCGCGGCCGCTCTTGTCGGAGTCGTCCTTGTGGGTGCCGACGCTCACGAGCGTGTCGTCGACGAGCTCGAACTTGTACCGGACGTCGCCGTCGCCGAGGTACGTGAGCCTGGCCGTCGCGAAGGCCGTCGTGAGGGTCGCTTCGTCGTTCTCCTTGCCGGCGGCGTCCTTCATGGCCCGCGAGTCCTGGTCCTGGTCCGCGATGAAGCCCAGGTCGAAGGACGTCTCGGGCGCGTTCGACGTCGCGCCGACGAGCGCCGCGAACGCGGGGCCGCTCGTCGCGACGAGCGCGTCGATGACGTGGTGGCCGTTCTCCACGGAAACGTGGTGCTTCATCTCCCCAAAGTCGACGACGCCGTTGTCGTTGGCGTCGAAGGTCGCCGTCAGCAGCCCGCGCAGGCGCTTGATCTCCTCCTTGGCGCTGTCGAGGTCGGTCACGTCCTCCGCGGCGAGGTACTTCTCGCGGCCCTTGGACGCCGTGCGCGCCAGGGTGAGCGTCTCGGCCGTCTGGCCCTCCGTCGACGCACCGGCACCCATGATTCCCAGCGAGGCTAGCGGCGACGCGTCTATGCTCGGCGCTGAGAGCCTGCACGGCAACCGCACTGTATGGATCGAGGGCAAACGAGCAGCTCGATCGAAAGCACATCGAGAGGCGAGACGTGGACGACGGAGGCGGCCGCAGTTCGCCGCCTGCCATGAGCTTCATGTCGCGGACGCCGGCGCCCGGCGAGCGCGGCGACGCGCGGGCGTGCCCCATCGCGCCGCCGAGCGCCGGCGAGGCCCCCCCGGCGGGCGGGAATCCCTGGCCGTCCGCGCCGCCGCCCTGGGTCGACGACCGCACGACGCAGCGCTGCATGGGCCGCGCCTGCACGGTTCGCGTCTCCGCGTCTGTCCGAGAGTCGCCGCCACCGCACGCGCCGCGTCGTAGGTCGCCTTCGACAGCGTGCTCGAGCGGCGGCACCACTGCCGGTTTTGCGGCAACATCTACTGCGGCAACTGCAGCGCGCGCAACTCCATGCTGCCGCCGGAGTGGAACATCAAGGAGCCCCAGCGCGTCTGCAACACGTGCTACCGCCTGCTCGTGCCCTACCAGCAGCGCTGGATCGCGACGAACTCCAACAGCCTGCGGGAGAACTTGCTCGAGGACGACGGCTCGACGCGCTACATGAACAGCCCGCTGCGCTTCACGCTCGGCGGCGAGGTGCGCAAGGCGGCCTACACGCTCCAGAACCTGACGGACCGCGAGAACGTCAACTACTGGGAGCGCGACAACGAGTACTGCACGGAGATGCTCGAGGCCGTCGAGGGCCTCATGTTCATGACCGTGGGCAAGATCGCGTTCATCGGCGGCTTGCGCTTCGCGACGGGCTGCGTCGTCGCCAAGCTGCCGGACAACACGTGGTCCGCGCCCTGCGCCGTGGGCTCCTTCGGCGTGACCTTCGGCGCGTGCCTCGGCGCCGAGGTCACGGACATGGTCACGGGCATCGACCGCGAGACCATGGAGAAGTTCTCCAACGAGCAGGTGTCCAACGTCATGCTCGGCGGCGAGGCGTCCTTCGCGCTGGGGCCGCTGGGCCGCACGGCGACGGGCGAGGCCTACGTCGCGGGCGCGGGGCCGAGCTCGAACTCGGAGGCGTACATGTCGTACAGCCAGTCGCGCGGCGCCTACGGCGGCGTCACGGTGGACGCGGCCTACGTGTCCGTGCGCAAGGACGTCAACGAGAAGTTCTACGGCTACGCCGTGAGCGCGCGCGACGTCCTCGGCGGCAAGGTCGACCGGCCCAAGGCCGCGGAGCCGCTCTACTCGGCGCTCGCGAACTTTTACGCGACGGTCTTCCCCGCGCGCGGCGCCAACGGCCGGTCCGCCTACGACGACGTCCACACGCGGTCCTTCGCGGGGGGCACGGGCTACGTCGACCGCCAGGGCAGCGGCGCCGCGCCGCGCGTCGAGCGCGACGCCTACGGCCGGCCCGTGCAGCCGTCGCCCGTCGGCGTGCCGGGCCAGCCGCCGCCCTGGAACCCCTACGAGGACGAGTACGGACGGCCGCGCCAGCCCGGCGCCGCGCCGCCCGCGCCGCAGCAGGCCTACGCGCCGCAGCAGGCCTACGACCAGCAGCGGGCCTACGACCAGCAGCGGG